GATGCAAGGAATAAGTATCTCAGTGGAGAAATCTCTCTGTCAGTCTTTCATATGCATGCTAATGACGTTTTATGCTGTGCTTTATAGGTTTACTTCAAATTATACATATTTCTAGAGTTTAACTGCTCTCAATAATGACCGCAGTGAAGAACTACTTTAATCAACAAAAAGAGGTGAAGCCTTGTCCTGCAAAAGATGAAGATCTGGATACAAAAAGTGCTAAAGCTGTTTCAGTTTCAGGGCTTGGAACAGCAAAAGCTAAACAAGCACAGTCTAGCAGGAATAGTATGCAAGTTACTTCCATTATGAAATATTGAAATATTTTCTCCCCTGTGTCGTAATATTGACCAAGCCTGACCTTTTCCAATTTTCACAGAATCTTCATCATCAAGTGAGATTTATGATAATAAGTCTTACCACCCCACAAAGAGTTCTTTAACAGGTGTGCCTGGTACATCGCTAGTTGTGAAGAGGAAACATGAAAGTGCTTCAGGTGGCCCCAATGTTATCTCATTAAAGAGAATTAAGCTTGGAAATACTTCAAGCATTCCTGCAACCTCTCCACCTAGGAAGAAGCACGAAAGTGCTTTAGATTTCCCTTATACTTCCATACCAAAGAAGATAAAGCTTGAAAACCATTCAGGTGTCTCTCAAACTTAAACATGTTAGCTAACTTGTAAACATGAAAAGAGCATTGAATGTGTTACTGAAAACATGCAGCTGCTGGACTTTCTCATCAATCAAAAGTAAGCCAAGGAAAATATTCAGATGATAGGGTAGTGGAAGTGGACCACAAAGTCAGAATGTTTCCGGCAAAAGCGGGTTATTTGGAAAAGAAAAAGGGCATGGGGACTGATTCTACAATAAGGGAAGTTGTAAGAAAGCCAACCGAGGTAATTAATTGAAAAACAAATTTCAGGTCATAAACTGCTAATTATGAAACATCCGTGATGGAATCTTGTAGCATTGATTGTTGGAAACATAGTTATTTTTAGGATTTCATCAAGCTATTTTGAGTTATATTTTCCGGTAGTCCAAGTATTTCTTTTTATGATCTTTATATCTTACTGTTAAAATTCAGGGTTCCATCAAAAGGTCAACCTGATAAGAGTAGTAGCCCAAGATACTTCAACACACCCCTTAACCCAAAATGAATTGGAAAACATCGGGGTGTATAAGTCAGCCAAATAGATTCTTAATGAGCTACTCTTTATCATGTGTTAAACAACAATCAAACAGGACAGACTCTCATACCGTGTTAAGATTTAGGGTTTGATATACAATTGAGATACAATTAAACACACATTTTCAATTTTACCATTTTTCTGTTGTTTTCTCCAATGCTCTAAAATTTACATCTTCATTATCAGTTTTTAACTCAATCCAAGTAAGTAGTTGAAAAAAAATGCTATATGTGAGTTTTTAACTGGACTCTTGCTATTTTATGTTCAATGATTTCAGGATTCAAGCAAATGGTTCATTGAACAAGTAAGTCACTTTTCACTTTCTAAGTTTCTAGTAATCTTATTACAATAAAGGATACTTATATGATAATCAAATGCCCAAGATGCAAAAGAACAAAAATTAAAATTATTTTCTTAAAAAGCGTGTCAAATCCTAATACATCTCAATTTATGGGATATGGGATGGAAGGAATAATGATTTGAAATCAATTCAGCTATGTTGGTTATTTATTTTTGCTACATTTTTCTTTAGCCTTGGGAGAAAAGAATGCTAATGGCTCAAGAAAAAGGAACATTGGTTTTACTGGGAAACCTTGATCCTTCATTCACTTCAGCAGATGTGGAGGTATGCCTTCCATTAGGAATCAACAATAACATAAACGCTGCATTTTTTGTGATAGGCCATAACATTTTTTGACCAGGATGGTGGAACTGTGGAAGGTACATGCATATCTTCCACCGCATCTGCTTTCCTTGAACGTTTAACTTTAGGAAAATTCTACACCTTCAGGTATAGATTACTACAACTGTGTAATCTAAATATAAACAAATGATGAAATAATGACTTGAACCAATCAAATGCATTGTAGGTATGATATCCTCACTTATTTGCGGGGTACCTTAGCACTATCCTTAACTTTATCCCGCAATGATAGGCATCCAGCTAAGCAGCCTACTCAATTTTTAAATAAATTTTATCACAGAAGAGCCTGGAGGGTAGTTAGGGCTATTGCTTTATCCCTGCGTGGATATACTACTATAAATAGAAATAATAATTGCTGGGGTAGGAGGCTGTTATTTTTCTGTTGAGACTAGACTTTGGAGATTGGGCATCTCGAATCGCCCCTGAGCACTGTATCCCCTGTGATTTGTTCAGTTGGAGAATAAAATCATTATGATCTGTTCTCTTTTGTTATTGAATTCTCTTTGCTGTAAGTGTTGGATTATCAGTGTTCTATCACTGGTATCAGAGCAAAGCATTCTGGGGACTGGATCAGTGGTCACAACACCAGATCTGCTCGTCTCAGCTGTGAATCGTTCGGACGAGAGCCAAAATGGAGAATCAGATGGAATCGTTGGAGTGAAACTACTTGGACTTGAAACTGATGATGGATATCATCGTGGCAACCATGGCTGCGATGAATGAGCAGTTCCAGGTCAGAGGAAGATCGCGATCACCACATCACCATCATACGAGGTCATCGCGCAGTCCGGTACGAGAGATCATTCTGTTCATTCTCACGTTCATCATCAACCACGAGGTATTGATAATACAGGATTCCCATTCATACGGGTAGAAAAATAGATCTACCTTTGTTCAATGGAGATGGAGCGTATAATTGGCTAGTCAGGATGGAGAGGTACTTTCGGTTGAATCAAATTGAAGAGGAAGAGAAAGTAGAAACCTCTGTGGTAACAATGGTAGATAGGGCCCTCAATTGGTTCCAATAGTGTGAGAACCAAACAGAGGAGAAGACCTGAAGGAGGCAATTATACGTAGATTTCAACCTGATTTGATCCAAAATCCATATGGGCCAATGCCGAGTCTGAAAAAAGGGGATCGGTTAAAGAGTACAGGGATGAATTTGAGATGGTGATTGCTCCACAAAGGAATGTTGACAGGGAAATACTCAGAGGATCAAGACTGAACTGAAATTGTACAACTCAAGGCCCCTGGCTGAGATAATGGATAGAGCACTGTTGATTGAGAGAAGGAATGATGCCATCTATCTGTGTAATATGGGAGATGACAAACCACACTGGAAGGAGAAGGGACCTGCTAAACCTCGGGCTTGGGGAGAGGGGTATAATCCTAAATCTGGAAATACTTGGTCTTCTAATGCTGGGAAGGATGCAGCAGAAAATAAGAGTAACCAGCCCTGGTTTAATACTATGGGGATGAAGATAACTGAGATCAACCCCTCTCCAATCGGAAGGGTGGGGCCACAATTGTCTCAAGAAGAATTTCAGGGTAGGAGTCGAAAAGGCCTTTGTTTCAAGTGTGGGGAAAAGTGGAACAGGGAACACACTTGTAAATTGAAGAACTACAAATTGATACTGGTAGAAGACGCAGAAAGTGAGGAAGAAGGGGAAAGGGCAGAGGTTGAAATTCTAGTGGAGGAGCCTGTCATGGAATCCAAGTCCATGCAACTTTCTCTCATTAGTAGTGAAGCCATACCCTCCATCAGAGCTTTTAAGGTTCGAGGATGTTTAAAATGGGATAAGGGTGAGAAAAAAGTTGAGGTCCTTATTGATAGTGGTGCTACCCAGTTTCATTTCTTAGAACATGGTGGAGCAACTGGAACTACCTTATACTACCATCTCTGGGTACAAGGTTCAAATTGGGAATGGAGAAAAGGTTTCCAACAATGGTAGATGTGAGAATCTGAGTATTAAATGGAGAGTGCAGGGGTTAGATCAAAGCTTGGGGGATGCGGAGATAAATTTTCAGAAGCAAAGTATTAAATGGAGAGTGCAGGGGTTAGATCAAAGCATCCAAGGAGACCCCCAGCTGAATTCCATAGAGATATCACTAAAAACCATGTCCCAGGTCATACAAGACACTAAGGATGGCTTGTACCAGGAAGGGAGTTTATTGCAGTTGGAGGGTGAAAAGAAGATGGGACGGAAATGGGAGGATATTGTGGCAGAATTTCCAGACATTTTCAAACCAGTACAGGGTTTACCTCCAAGCAGATAATGTGACCATGCAATCAACATCAAGGAAGGAGCTGAGATCCCCAATTAAGGCCCTACAGATATCCACAATACCAGAAAACTGAGATTGAAAATATCATCAAAGAAATGCTAAGTTATGGAATGATACAACATAGTAACAGCCCATACAGCAGCCCTATTTTATTAGCCAAGAAGAAGGATGGTGGTTGGAGGTTTTGTGGAGATTACAGGGCCTTGAACAAGATCACCATTCCAGATAATTTTCCTATATCTGTCATAGAGGAGTTACTGGATGAGCTAGGGGGAGCTACTATATTTTCTAAATTAGACCTAAAGTCTGGTTACCATCAAATCCGAACGAAGGAAGCTGATATACAGAAGACGGCTTTCAGAACACATGAGGGCAAGGTTGTTAAACTCGAGATCCTAGCTCGGATCGGAAGGGGGTTAGGAGATATATATATATATACTCCCTCCGTCCCAGGGAGAAGTTCCCGGGTTGACTTTCACACATATTAAGGAAATAAAGTTACTGTGGGGTAAATTTTACTGTTTGGCACTGTTTCGACACTGTTTGGCACTGTTTCGACACTGTTTTGCACTGTTTTGCACTGTTTTGATGTAGAATAACTTTCCATTTAGGGAAATGGGAACTTCTTGTTGGGACTGCCAAAAAAGGAAATTGAGAACTTCTCCCTGGGACGGAGGTAGTATATATTAACTTAAAACTTTTAAGATATTAATAACTATGTAATTTGTGAATTAAAACACTTAGCATCACAAACTTAAGATAAATTAAAAAAAGACATCTTCAAACAAAATGTAATAGAAGTTCTGGAATGTACTCTTCCAGAACCACTTGCCCAATTTCCCAACTGTTGACGAACAGAACAAAAAAAAATGAAAAGGATAGAGGGACGAAGAAAAGTTTACGAGGAGAATAAAAAATAGATTATACGGAGAACTGGATATGGGACAAATATGAGTAGGTGAAAGTGCGACACTCCCCCAGCCATTTTAGAGAAGAATTGAAGGAGGTGAGTCGCTCAGGTACGCAGCTTGGGGAGTTGGGTCTGCGTGAAAGCTTTTTTTTTTCTTCAGAACCTGCGTCGTTTCCGATTTCTGACTCTGAGAGTCGTTTCGGAATTGTGACCAGATGAGTCGGAATCTCTCCCTCAGGCATGTACGACGAAGATCGACTGAGTCGACGATCTTACGATCTTACTCGACGATCCATCGGTCTTCCTGCTTTTTCCGATCTTCTGTACGATCCAGCTCGTGCTTGCTACCTTGACGCGTAAAATCGTACGAGTCAGCGATTTAGATCGCGATCTTAATAACCTTGCATGAGGGGCACTATGAGTACTTGGTAATGCCTTTTGGGCTCACTAATGCCCCCTCAACTTTTCAGGCTCTCATGAACCAGGTTTTAAGACCATTTTAAAGAAAATTTGCCTTGGCATTTTTTGATGACATACTGATATACAGCAAGTCTGAAGAACAGCACCAAGATCATTTAAGGAGAGTTTTGAGGGCTTTACAAGAAAATCAGTTAGTTGTTAATCTAAAAAAAATGCTCTTTTGGACAATCCCAGTTGGTGTATTTGGGACATATCATTTCTGGAAATGGAGTTGCAGCCGACCCTGCTAAAATTGAAACCATGGTGAGCTGGCCAGAACCTAGGGACTTGAAGGGATTGAGGGGCTTTCTAGGGTTAACAGGGTACTACAGGAGATTTGTGAAAGGGTACATCCGGATTGCATTGCCTCTTACACAGCTTCTGTAAAATGTTCATCCTTGAAACAGATGCATCTGGGACAAGCCTGGGGGCAGTCTTAATGCAAGAAGGGAAGCCTATTGCCTACATGAGCAAGGAATTGTCTAAGAGGAACCACAACAGATCAGTTTATGAAAGAGAACTCATGGTTATTGTATTGGCAGTACAGAAATGGAGACCATACTTACTTGGCAGGGTTTTTGAAATCCATACTGACCAAAGAAGTTTAAAGTTTTTGACTGAGCAATGATTGATGTGAGAGGAACAACAGAAGTGGACTTCTAAATTGCTAGGTTACAACTTCATCATCCTGGAGTGGAGAATAGGGCTGCAGATGCCCTATCCAGAAAACTTGCGAAGAATGGGAAGGTCCGGAAGAAGAACTGAATTCAGATCTTACATGTCAAGACATGATACAGAAGGTAATATCCCACCCAGATGAATGCCCTGATTTTCAGATTATTAAAGGGTTATTGTATTACAAAAAAACTGGTTCTACCTAGAGACTCTCCTAGGGTACTCAAGATTATGAATGACTATCATGACTCAGCAGTTGGGGGTCGTTTAGGATATTTCTGGACTATGAAAAGAATATCCAGTTTGTTCTATTGGCAGGGTATGAGGGGGCTGACATCAAGAAGTTTGTAGACGGTTGTGCCACTTGCCATACTAACAAATATCAAGCTCTAAAACCAGCCAGGTTTATACAGCCCTTACCTATTCCTAGCAATATATGGATAGACATCAATATGGATTTCATAGGGGGTCTGCCAAAATCTCATGGGAAGGACACTATTATGGTCATTGACAGATTGACCAAATTTTGCCCATTTCTTGTCCCTTTCTCACCCCTATCATGCCAAATTGCCAAGTAGCTGAACTATTTACAAAGGAGGCTGTTAAATTACATGGGTTTGCCAAGACCATTGTAAGTGATAGGGACAATATCTTCATGAGTTCTTTTTCGTCAGAAATTTTCAGATTGGCAGGGACTCAGCTAAAGTACAGTACGGCTTACCATCCTCAAACTGATGGACAAACTGAGGTGGTTAACAGATGCCTAAAAACTTATCTAAGGTGTCTCACAGGAAGAAAACCTAAACAGTGGAGTCAATGGTTGCATTGGGCTGAGTTTTGGTACAACACTAACTATCACTCATCTCTGAAACAGACCCCTTACAGAGCTCTATTTGGGCAAGATCCCCCTGCAGTCATAAGAGGAGATGCCACCCTAATTGCTGTGGAAGAAGTCTCCAGGTTAACAGCTTAGAGAAATACTATGTTGGATGAATTGAAGAAGAATTTGGAGATTGCTCAGAACCAGATGCAACAACAAGTTAACAAACATAGAAGAGAGGTGGAGTTGGACATTGGAGATCAGGTTTATCTGAAAACCAGAAGTTGAGTCCTAGGTTCTATGGCCCTTTTGACATTATTGAGAAGATCAACACTGTAGCTTTTAAGTTGAAGCTTCCAGAAGAAAGTAAAGTACACCCTGTATTTCATGTCTCCCTACTCAAGAAGGTGCTATCACCCAACACATCCTATCAGCCTCTACCTAAGTGTTTGAATCAGGGGCGGAGCTAGGGCACTCAGCCGCACTCGGCTGGTACAAAGAATACTTTTGAAATTTTTTTTACACAGAATTTTTTACACTAAAAATACAAGCATTTTTAAAATTTGGGCTGGGCCAGGGCCAGGGCTGGCCCTCCCCTAGCTCCGCCCATGGTTTGAATGAAGAACTAGAATTCCAGGTGACACCTGAGAAGGTGGTGGATTCCAGAGTGAACAAAGAGGGCAAAAATGAAGTGCTAATACATTGGAAGGGTCTGCCAAGCTTTGAGGATTCTTGAAAAGTGGTGCAAGTGATGAAAGAGCAATTCCCAGAACTTCACCTTGAGGACAAGGTGAATTTCGAGGGGGGAAGTGTTGATAAGCATCCAGCTAAGCAGCCTACTCAATTTTTTGAGAAGGTTTATCACAGAAGGGCCCGAAGGGTACTTAGTTAAATAGCTAGCTAATTTAGGGCTATTGCTTTATCCTTGCGTGGATATACTACTATAAATAAAAATAATAATTGCTGGGGTAGTTTTGTCCCGTCCTACCTCCCTGATTGCACTATAATATCCCCTGTGATCTGTTCAGTTGGAGAATAAAATCATTACAATTTGTTCTCCTCTTTTGTTATTGAATTCTCTTTGCTGTGAGTATTGGATTATCAGTGTTCTATCATGCAATCATATTGTGAAGGGGAAATCATATTTCTCCTTCCATCTCATTTCGTAAATACACCTTTCTTTTGTGTTGTCCAAAAAATTTGTACACTTTGCTAACTTGAGCACTATTAACTTTTACTTTTTCGAATTATTTCTGTTTTTTGCTGACATAATTACTTTTTATTACTTTTATAAGGTTACAATGGTAAAACAACTACTATACTCTTTATTTTCTTAAAATCTCTGCCAAACCCAAGAGTATCTTACATTACACCTTTACAACATAGATAGAGTAACTTTTTTAAGAATTTACCCATCCTAGTGTATCATGTGCCATTTTTCCATCATTTGCAATGGAGCCAAAGATTCACTATTTTTTTGGCTTGGAGATGTGATGGAATAAAGTAAATGGCTCACCAAACTCACCAAACTGCCTGCACTTCTTTATTATGAAGCAACAATCAGTCCATGCAATTTTGGATGCGATTTTCATTATGGGTCATCCATAAACAATCTCTCTGTGCTTTAGTACATGGGTAAGATTGCGTATATCCAACTCCCCTTACCCCACTGTAGGTGGGAGTCTTTGTGGCACTTGTGTAATCATGATGATGATGAGTGTATCATGTGTCACTGTTTATTTTTCTTAGTTTTTTCTTGAGACTTAAATGTAGTGTTCAGGACAAAGTTTTAATGGAGGCATATCTAATATATTGGTTATAGTAAATATTTAATCTACGTTGCTCTAAAAGGTATACGTTTTGATGGACTTTGATTTTATTTGTAATTTTTTGTTGGTAAGATAATCATATTCTTGTAGGAGGTTTTTGTGCGATTTTAATGGCAAAACTCTGTTTTTAATTATTATATTAATGACTGAAAATCATTTAATCATATTTTTCCACTGTCTAGTGGGTGATCAAATGTTTGATGAATGAGTTTGGTCATTATATGAAAATAATACTCCGTAAAATTGATATTTCTATTCAGCGACTCCTTAAATTGCTTTTTCCCAGGCTATTCTTTTGGGTGCATTCAAATTGAAGGTTAGTGTAAAGATGATACATCATGGGACCTTCTTTAGTCTGAATTCTGGTATTTTTCAACACTGCTCTCTGAGCCATATACATATATATATATATATATATATATATATATATATATATATATATATATATATATATATTGAACTATGTGATAAGATGTCTTCATTTTTCTAGAAGTTTGTTATATTGTTTGAATATTGCACCTAGCAGGACAAGCTTTTGCCATATTCAAATCCAGGGAAGATGCAAATTCAGTAATTTCTAGCTTAAAGACAAGGTGTCTGATGCTTGGTGATGGAAGGTATTTAGATTCCCTTTGATCAAGGTGTCTACTATTACTGCCTAGGAGAATGGTTGCAGAGTTTTTCTTATAATGGATAAGATGCGGTTGTGTGAGCTTGAGAAGATATATCACCCTGATTTGATGATAACCTTGTTATCTACTGGGGTTCTTCGAGTCGCGGACATGAATTTAAAGGATAAATGGAATTGTGGAGGGGGCAGTGGAATTATAGGGAGTTTTCATTCTCTATTGGAATTTCATGAGTTATCCTTCTCCATTATTTCTTCTTAGTTCCTCCTTTGATATTTTATTAGCAAAGCAAGCTCCATTTTAAAATAGGGATTAGATTCATCAAAATGCTTTAAAATTAAAACACATCCTGAAGTAGATAATCTAATATAGGTATTAAATATTAATATCATGTTTATCACTCTTCAATCTTCCTCTCGATCTTTTATCCATCCATCATTGCATCCTTCTAGATCAAGTTTGTCCTCTAGTTTAAAAACTCGAACCTCACCCTGATCGATTGCACCAAAAAAAGTGTCACCGGTCTTTCTGTTCTTGAAAAAGATTAAAAGTTTGTTGTAGAGGTGAAATAAAGCGAAGGTGAAGAAAAATTGTTCTAACTTTCCTTGAAAGACAGTGGTAAACTAGGAGGCGTTTAGCGTGCCAAACCATATTGGAAAAGTCCAAGTAGTTTGTTTGGGGAATTTTTACTGGGTGGGCAGTCTGCATTGTTGGTGTTGCCGACAGTATTGGATCTAAGAGTTGCTGTGGTGGAAAGTGGAAACACAACTGTTGGTAGTTTAGGCAAAACTTCAGTAAATGACGTGTTTACTGATGGGTTGCTTCTTCGGCTGCCAAGGAGTCCTGTGATGGGGAAGGGTAGTCAATCTGGTTAGAAAGTGTCTGATCTGACTCCTGTAATGGTTGCAGTGCTGCACCATTTGCCCCATACTATGCAGCTTGTCAATTTGTGTACATCCTTCTATATCTGTGAGAGATGTGTGTATTGATCATTGTCATGCGTGCAATTTTCCATAGAAATTCACTTCCTGAAGTAGATAAAGTAATGAAGGTAAAAAAATCAAATTAGAATAAACCAATCAAGCAAATCAATGAGCAAATACTTCTCATTCTTCTACTTAATTGCCTTTTATCATTCCATAATATTATATTGTAGCATGCATCATTACACAAAATGCTATGTGCCAGAATTCTTTGCGTTACTGGAATGAAATATAAAAAATAAATGGATAGGGGACTGGAAATTGGTGAGTTTTCCATATTGATTTCTTACTGTTTTTATATGCATATGAACGCAGAAAACAAGGGAAGTAGTAGAAAATCACTTCCTAAAATAGATTAACTAATGAAGGAATTAAAATCAAATCATATTAAAATCAATCAAGTAAATTAATCAACTCTCACTCCTCATTATTCTTCTTGATTGCTCTTTTCATCATTCCATAATAATATAATATATTGTAGCATCATTACAACACTCTTTGAAAATCAAGCTTGCCCTCAAGCTTGAAATTTTGAACATGATGTTGAATGACTGCACCAATAAAAAGGGCCAGTGGTCTTGTATTCTTGAAGAAGATCGAAGGTCACTCTTACGACAAAGCTCGTTTTTAAAAGAGGATTACATGCATATGAATGCTGAAAACATGGAAATGACTCAATGAGTGTCCTAGAAAATCACTTCCTAAAATATATTAAATAATGAAGGTATTAAAATCAAATCATACATTAATTATGGCGAACCTTTTTGGGACGGAGGTAGTATTTATTACATTCTATCTTACTTTATCTTTTTATTCTTTTTATTTTTTCTTCTCTTTTTTGGCTCTGATACCATTAGGGATGGACCCGGGCTGGTTCCGGTTCGGGCCTGGGCCCGACCGGGCTTTTTTTTGGGAAGGGAGAACCGGAACCGGCCCGGGTAGGCAGCGGTTCTGGGCCGATCCGGGCCGGTCCGGTTCACTTCTTATTTTTTTTTAATTTTCTTTTGCTTTTCTAATTAATCCCCGACCCCCCCCCCCCCTTCACCCCCCAAAACACCCAGCCCAACCCGGGAAAAACAAAAAAAAAATGAAAAAAAAAAAAAAACAAGGCCCGAACCGGGCCCGGCCCGGCTCGGCTAGTTCGCCTTTTGCAAGACCCGAAACCGCTTATCCTCCCGGGTCGGGCCTAAGCCCGGAACCGGAACCGGTTTCCCGGGCCGGGCTAGTTCTAAACAGTACCGGGCCGGTTCCGGGCCGGACGACCCGAACCGAGTCCATCCCTAGATACCATGGATCGATTCATGTTAGCCGAACTCAAAATCTTTGGGGAATAAGAATTGGACGTTGTATTGAAATCAAATCATAATAAAATCAATCAAGCAAATCAATCAGCTATCACACCTCAATATTCTACTTTCTCATCATTCTATTTGATTGCTCTTTTTATCTTTCCATAATATTATAATGTAACATCCATAATATTCCTTCTTTGGGAATTTGAATTTGTGAAGTGTTCTGTCAATCCTTCCAATTTATTTTTCCTGAATTGTATGATTTGATTGTGTAGGCCATTAATTGCTCGAATGGGATCTCTTAAGGAGCCACGCAAACCAAGTGGGTTTGTTGGCCACCTTACAATCGACCGAGTGAGACCTCAAAAGCAACGAATAGAGATGGTATGCATTTCTCATTGAATTATGCACATATTTTCTAGGAATTCTTTGTGTTATCTATATTTGAAGCATATTTCCATCATTTTCAATGGAGCCCAAGACTCATTATTTTTTGGATTGGAAGTATGTTGGAATAAAGCAAAATGGCTGACTAAATTGTCGGCGCTTCTTCATTATGAAGTCCATGCAATTTTCATCACGGGTCATCCAGTATAATGTGAAGGTTGCGTACATCCGACCTCCCTTACCCCCGTATGTGAGAGCCTTTGCGGCGCTGGTGTAATGTTGTTGTTGTTGTTGTATATCTGAAGCATAATCATATTTTTTATGTAGCCTATGAGAAAAAAATTGCCCACATCTTATTTAGCTTTAGCCTTATAATTGCATACTACATATTACAAAATAAATGATTCATACTTGGTCCCAAAATACTTGGTCATCTTTTAAACTTTGACCAACACATACTACCTTCATCCCAAAATACTTGGTCATCTTTTAAACTTTGACCAACTACATATTTTAATTGGAAGTTATTTATAATATAAAAATGATATGAAAATGTTATTTGTTAAAAGTACTTTCATAAGAGCATAAAATTTATGACTTACATTATATTATACTAATCAAAATCATGGTCCAAACGTTAAGAGATGGCTAAGTATTTTGGGGGGGTGGTAGTATATTTTAGCAAGATAATGTTTTAATTTGAACTTTTCAATTATACCTGTACTCTAAGTCAAATAAGAAAGTAACTAAAAAGTAAAAGAAATTGTAACAGTTTCTATTGAAGAGTTTCTTTTTATGAAAATGAGAAGTTTATTTTGGGACAAGGAAAATGGGAGAGTTTTTGGAACGGAGATAATATTATTTTTTCAGGTAAGTTGGAAAGTTCAAAAAGCTTCCACCTCCCCCCACCCTCCAATTTTTGTAAATTGTAGAAATGGACAATGCATGTCATCCCAATGTTTCTCTATCCATTTTGAGTATGAATGATGACCTTATTTCAGCGTCTTTATTTGAATAGCCATAATTCCAGTTTGGTCATGTTCAGATGAGATGCATGTTGGTTTTGCAATATTAAATCCTGTAATGAAACCTGACCGTTTTGGAAATTATTATTAGTAATTAGGTCAACTCATCGTTCTCTTATATTTTTAAATGACTGTTTTGGAAATTATTATTAGTAATTAGATCACTTCTAGTAGAACACCTTTTGCAAAAGTGTCATTATGTTCTTGTTTTTTCATGAAATTTATAGTAAACCAATTATACACAAATAGGAGACACCATAATTCAGTCTGAGGTGATGATGATGATGAGGAGCCATAGTTCCGGTGGGTTTCTCTTGTTTTTTGGGGAAGTCAAAATCACGAGATTAGTGAGAAACATATGAGAAGTATAGTATACCATATATTTTTGAAATTCAATTTGTGTGTCCATATTCATTCGACTGATCAAGCTTGCCTATACCAATTGTGGTTTGTGAAGTATATTTGGTCGAACTGACAGTTTAGTACATACTACTATAGTACACAATTGTTGATGGTCACAAGCTAATTTTTTCTTTTCTTTAAACAACGTACGCTTGTGTTATGGTCTTCTCATCTGAAAGAGAGAAGCAGTATCAACATCCCACTATTCCCAGAACAATACAATTGAATATGAGATGGCCTTGGAATGGTTTGTATTACAAAAACGATCAGACAGAAGGTGGAAAGCATTATATGAGGTAATTATTGAAGCCCATTGCCTTTTCTTGACATGTTTATCTTCTCAAGCTTTTGATGCTCTGTTTTTTAATGATTGAAGATGTTCTCATGTTGTTTTGCTTTTCTTATCCAAAGAGTCAAGCAAAGGAACTTGCAGAGCTTAAGAGCAAATTCAAGACCCCACAGTGAACAGTAATTTTCAATGTTTAGAAGTTAATAGAGTTCCCGAGTTTAAACTGCAAATGTAAGATAATTTTTATTTTTGTTGCTAATTTTTTTTCTTCACTTTTTGCTTGTAATTTGTTGCTTTTTTGCATGGATGAATGTGAACTACTATGTCCTTTTTCCCTCTACAGGAAGCAATTTTTGTTTACTCTACTGATACTATATGGAATTGCTAGTCAAGATGTCCCTGTTTTGGAGACCGGGCTGCACCAGTTACAGAATGGCATATTGGTATATGGCCTATTTTAACCAGGATAACTAAATGCAGGTCTTTGTTTCATATTGTGTTCCAACAAGCTATTAAACTTTTTGTGCCTTTTTTGTTCCATAATTAATGCGGTGAAATATTTGTCATTGCTCTTTGAAAATAGGTCTGCTAATTAGATGTGGTGTCAATCATTATTATTGCCGTTTTACCATAATCTGTGAAAAGAAACAGCACATGGTACGTACATGTGTTTGGGAACTGATTCTGTTTCTGCTTCTTTTTTAAAGGAGAAGCAGAATCAGTTAGCTTCTAAAAAAACTGATTCTAGGAGTAAATTAGAGCACTGGAATCGTTTCTGTACTTTCACTCAAACACTCCAACTTCTGCTTCTCTTCCCTGAAGGAGCAGAAGCAGTTTTAAGAATCAGATCCAAACACCCCCACATTAAGCTTAAAACAGAGTGGGCTAAATATGTGTAAAAAACTGATTCTGCTTCTGCTTCTTTTTTAAAGGAGAAGCAGAATCAGTTAGCTTCTAAAAAAACTGATTCTAGGAGTAAATTAGAGCACCGGAATCGTTTCTGCACTTTCACTCAAACACTCCAACTTCTGCTTCTCTTCCCTGAAGGAGCAGAAACAGTTTTAAGAATTAGATCCAAACACCCCCACATTAAGCTTAAAACAGAGTGGGCTAAATATGAAAAATGGAAAAATAAAAACATCTCAAATCTAAGAAAACATTAATTTGCACTAAACTTTGTCCAACATAGCCCTCGTATGGATCCGTCACTACCTGCCTGGACCAGCAAAAAGAGATGTCTTATGTATAGATCTTGTCTATGGTTACATGCAGCATCTTTCTTCTCCATCTCTTTCAGTGATTTTACAGTTAAAAATATGGGAGTCCGTTTGATGACTGAATATCGCCTGTTTGTTAACTTTTGAAATAGGCTATGTAAAAATTAAAAGCCAAGGGGACGTGAAGTATTTTTTCCCGCTTTTTAAAAATAGGCTATTAACTACATTATCAATTGTACTTCATATTTCAATAAGGGAAAATTGCACTTTTAGTCCCTGAAATAGTCACCATATTGAAATGTGAGAGTGTGAGACTCCTATTTCTAAGATTGTAAATGTCACCTAGTCATGGACCCGGGCCGCGGCCGGGCTTTTTTTGGGAAGGAAGGCCCGGGACCGGCCCGGGTAGCCACCGGGTCCGGTCCGGGTCCGGGCCGGGCCTCCGGTTCGGTCATATTTTTTTTTTTTTTTTTTTTTTTTTTTTTTTTTTTTTTTGCTTTCCTAACCCCCCACTCACCCCCCAAACCCCCAAACCCCTCCTAACCATCAAGCCCAACTTGGCTAACCCCAAAAAAAGGGGAAAAAAAAAAAAAAAACAAATCGGCCCAGGCCCGGGCCCGAGCCCGGACCCGCCCACCCCACCGGGCCTAGGCCCGACCCGGACCCGGACCCGAGAACCGGGCCGGTTCTGGGCTCGCACAGTGGCGGGCCGGGCCGGTCCCGGGCCGGGCGGCCCGAACCGGGTCCATGCCTAATGTCACCCCTCATTTTTCCAAATTGTTGTAAATGTGGTCCTTTGAGGGGTGAAATGTATCATTGCTCACATTGTACATTTCATCCCTAAAAGGACCACATTTACAACAATTTGAATAATTGAGGGGTGACATTTTCAAACTGGAAAACATAGGTCTGACATTTTAATATGGTGACTATTTCCGGGACTAAAAGTGCGATTTTCTCTTTCAATAAATATGCATTGAATTTTTTTGTAGCACTTGTGAATTTTTAAATTTTCTCAATTCTCATTTGTAGTTCATATTTCAAATAAAAATACTTTAATTTTTTATTGTGTAGCACTTCTTGAATTAATTTAAAACTTGATTAAAAAGAACAAAAAAATAGCCCGGCCTGACCCGACTTAACACCTGGGTGGGTAACCTGACACGGTCCGGTCTCGGGCCTTCATCCCTAAAACCAAGTCCCACTCCGACCCATCCCGGAGCCCGGGCCGGACCGGTCCATGCATACTTCTCTCTGCCCATGCTTGGACATTTAGACTTTGGTTTTTCTATTATTCATTTGTAATTATTAAAAAATTTTGGATTTGTCTCTTTGAGTTTACTACGGTTTCTTTTTCTGATTTAGTTTGGACATTTAGACTTTGGTTTTTCTATTATTCATTTGTAAGTCAATTTCATTTTTCATAGGAAAAAATGAAAACATAATCCCAACTATAGTCGGTTCACATTTAATAATTCCAACTATATCATTTAATAATTCCAACTATCTATTATTCATATGTAGTTCCAACTATAGGTATCATTTTTTCAAAAGTAGTCCCTTATGACCTTATGGGCTACAGCTTGATATAGCGGGTTATTTGTAAATGAGAGCTAAGCTAAATATATAAATAATATAATTTCAAATATAGTTGCTTTAATTTTAGGGAAAAGTACGGAAAAGGTACTTGTGGTTGGGCCTGTTTTCAGATAGGGTCATGTGTTTCATTCTTTATCAAAGTGGTTCATGTGTTTGAATTCCGTTATCACAAGAGGGTCACGCCGTTAAAAATGTCCGAAAAAGACCGTTAAAAGTAACTCCGGTTTTCAAAAGTGCCCGAAAAAATAAAAGAAACATATCGGAAGGTGCGCCTCAATAAGATGACCGCTAAGCCATCTTTCTTTTTTGTTTTTAGCCACCCTTGTCACCGAAAAGTCCACCGGAAAAGTGATATTAGCGAAATTATTTTTAAAAAAATAATTCAAACAGATCTGAAAAATCCAAAGGCGAAGGTGGTTTGGGGGTCATCTTGACGAGGCGCACCATTCGGTATTTTTCTTTTAATTTTTCGGGCACTTTTAAAAATCAGAGTTACTTCTAACGGTCTTTTTCAGACGTTTTTAACGGCGTGACCCTCTTGTGATAACGGAATTCAAACACATGAACCACTTTGTTAAAGAATGAAACACAGGACCCTATGTGAAAACGGGCCCAACCACAAGTACCTTTTTCGTACCTTTCCCTTAATTTTATTAATCTTAATTATCAAGTATTGATTTTTGGAAGATGTTGAAATATTTTTATAAATTTCCAAACTAAATGTTTTTAATCACATAAAAATAAATTCATCAAATGTAGTGAGGTTAACAATAATATTTTAGTCATTTTAAATTTGTTTTCATTAAAATTTCATTATTTTTCTTTTTACCCAATTTGTTTTTCCAGTTGTGTTAGCAATTTATGATTCTTTATGTTTTTCCTTTATCCAACTTTATACTTTTCGTTTTCAAAGAGTATACGGTGATTTAAAATTCGAAAAAAAATATTTTATTTAATATTGTTATGCTTTCTTAAATCTATAAAACTAAGGGTTTTTTTTACTAATAGAGATATTTTCAGTTTTTTGTTTTCGTTCTCCAATTTCCTGTTTTTATTTTTCAGTTTTTCTTTCTCCAATTTTTTGTTTTCATTTTTTAGTTTTTCATTGTCAAATATGAAAACATCTTCAGCAAATTTTTTGACTCGGTTTTGTGTGATCGACCATAAAACCAAAAGTACGGTTCTAGTTTGGAACCGAACCTTTTACAATCCAAGTAGGGTACCGGGTCCCACGTATAGGAAAGCTGGGAATGAAACCAACCGATGTCGGTTGATCTCAACGGTTATTTTGACGAATTCTTTTACTATTTTCTTTTGGTTTACAACTCAACGGTTCTTCTAAAAATCTTGACTTTAAAAAATGATTTCAAAAAACTAAGACGGGACCGCTGGGTCATTGACTGGACCGGAAAGGGACCGCCTGGTCATTGATTGGATTGGACCGAGATCGCCCGGTTGTCGATCGAACAAAACACAAACCATCCGATCATTGGCAAGGCAGGATGGGGACCGCAGGGTCGTAGATCGGACATGACGGGGACTGCCAAATGGTTGACTGGACAGGATGGGGACTATCGGGTCATTGACTGGATGGGGACCATCGAGTGACCGAGGCGTTGACCAGATCGGGTTGAATCGGACCAGGTTTGCCCGACCATCAGACTGAACAGATACGACCTGGTCGTAGATCGGACCAGACAGGAACCATTGGGTCATCGAATGGACCAGACAAGGGTCGCTGGGTGATGGATCAGACTGGACAGGGGTCGCGTTTCGTGGACCGAACCGGACAAGGACCATCGGGTCGTCAGGTCGTTGACCGAACCAGATAGGAACCATCGGGTCATTGACTGAACCGTACTGGAACTGACAACAAAGCGGGACCAGATCCATCTTTAGGCAAAAGTTTGCAAATTCATTGCGGCGGGACTGTAGCACCCGCGTTTTTCAAATTTGGAAAACTAGTAAATCTCATTTTGTTTGTTTTGGAATATGATTTGGTAAACACATTTTTGTTTCTCCAGTTTCCCAACAATGTTTTTTGGTAAACACGTTTTTGTTTCTGCTAGTCCATTTTTCAATTTTTCTGAAAAACTGGAAAATATCTCCATTAATAAACAGGCTCTAAGTTTTCCATTTTCCCCATTTTAGTATTTTAATTTTCTTTTTACTTTCTTATTTTATACTCCATATTATAATATTCTATAAATTATATGATATAGTTTATTACTTAAATTTTAAGATTTAGAGTATAGGTTTCAAAGGTTTTGGCATTTAGAATGAAAAGATATTAATACGGAGTATTATAATTTCAATTGAAATGATAGAAAGTGTAAAGAATATATAAAAACTTTAAATATCTTGATATAGAGATGAATGCATGGGAATAGAGGATAATAAGTGAGAAAAGTAAGGACATTCTTATATATATAAATGAAACATATATAAAAATAAGAAAGTGATGCATTTAATAAAATATTTTCGTAAAAATATAAATGATGATTTAATACATAAGGATGACTGAAGTATCATTTTCTATTTATGTGCATCATTTTCGATTTATCCAATGGAGAGTACTAAAAAAGTAAAAATATGCGACAATAATTCAAATTATTAGAAATAGCTACCCAGGATAACTATTGATAATTTTCACTAGCTATCATTTTCATAGTAGTCACTTCAACAAACACTTTAACATTGATATAAATAAATCAACAGAGAATTATAACCTTAAAATAAGCTATTTTGACACGACAAAGTAAGAATATTTAAACTAAAATATGCAAAATACTTAGTAGTTTTTGTACATAAACATTGTGTTGTTAATATTTTTACATTGAATTTTAATCATATATAAGGAGTAGTATGTATTGCATAAAAAATATTCGAATATATATAATTCCCATATAATTCAAATATATTCGAATATTGTTCGAACCGAATATCATAGTATTTGTATTCATATTCGAAAACAATTCGAATAACGAACAAATTTGTTTCTACTAACTCGAATTCGAATTCACATTTTCGGATTCGAATCACATATCAAATCAAAATTTTTCGCTTTGTTTAAAACCCTATTCTAGAAGTATAGAGTAAAAGTGGAAAAGAGAGGACCCCATTTAGGACAGAGGGGAAGGGGCTTATGCTAAGTAAGGTTGCCCGCGGGTGAAAAAGACATTTCTGAGTTATTCACTCCAAATATCCCGCAATTCATGTATTTGGAGGTGCTATAGTGAGTTCATGACACTCCATGGGTGAGAATTATGTGACGTTATCCACCCC